ACTTTCCTGCCACCCGCCCCGCGCTTGTAAGTAGGAGGAAAAAGAGACTGACCCCTGCCAACACACTGCTCCTCCCCCAGGGAGGACGTCTTGTGTCCGCTTTGGAAATATGTGGTATATAGTCAACAGTGTTACACACCCAATCACATCTGGGCCCCTGAGGGCTAGGGCAGCCCTATTCTTTCACAGACGTGCTGCATAGTGGAGCACACATGTGGTTTCTCATGACATTGAATGATACATGGAGTCTTCGCAGGCCACCTCATGTTGCCATTCCCTGCTCTTCTTCCACATACATCTCTCAGGAACGGAACAGCCCAAGCCGAACTTCGTGGCGCCATGTCAAGTTCAGGTTCTCTCCAGATGGAGGAAGCGTTGATAGATGGCATAAGGTGAAGCTGTGACTTACAAGGGACCCTGACACACTGATGCCCACAGCCACCTTGAGAGACAGAAGTGAAACATTCTCGCTGCAGGGGGCTGTACTGTTTCCTTCATGGCTCAGGTGCATGGAGAGAGCTGGGGGACTGTAGCTGCCTCTTTAAGGGAGGCATCAATGCCGAGGAGACCCATGTTTCTGGGTGAAGGCTTCAACTCCCAGAAAGGTCATCTCTCCAGAAAGCAAACGGCCCTTCGCTCCCTGTGTTCTTCACATAGAAAGTGTATTTGTAGCGGTTTTGTTTGGTTTTCCAGGTCTTTTCTGAAATGCATATGGGCAAATAACTGGAGTAAATTCATAACTGTCCAAGCATTGTCAGGGTGCTTGGTTTGCTGTTAGGTTAACAGTTGACTTCAATTGCTATATACATATATTATTTATATATATCTTTTTAAAAATGTTTTCAAAAATGTATCTTATTGTGCTATTACAGTTGTCCCATTCTCCCCCCCATTCTCCTCCACCTTGCCCCCCCTCCCACTCACATGACTCCCCTTAGTTCATGTCCATGGGTCATACATACAAGTTCTTTGGCTTCTCCATTTCCCATACTATTCTTAACCTCTCCTGTCTATTTTCTACCTACGATTTATGCTTCTTATTCCCTGCACCTTTTCCTCCATTCTCCCGCTTCCCCTCCCTACTGATAACCCTCCATGTAATCCCCATTCCTGTGATTCTGTTCCTGTTCTAGGTGTTTGCTTAATTTGTTTTTTGTTGGGTTTTTTTTTAGGTTCTGTTGTTGATAGTTGTAAGTTTGTTCTCATTTTACTGTTCATAGTTTTTGATCTTCTTTTCCTTAGATAAGTTCCTTTCACATTTCCTATAATAAGGGCTTGATGATGATGAACTCCTTTAACTTGACCTTATTTGGGAAGCACTTTATCTGCCCTTCCATTCTAAATGATAGCTTTGCTGGATAGAGCCATCTTGGATGTAGGTCCTTGCCTTTCTCTCATGACTTCTAATACTTCTTTCCAGGCCCTTCTTGCCTGCCTGGTTTCTTTTGATTAATCAGCTGACAGTGTTATGGGAACTCCTTTGTAGGTAACTTTCTCCTTTCCTCTTGCTTTTAAGGTCCTCTATCTTTTTTTAAAAATATATTTTATTGATTATGCCATTACAGTTGTTCTATTTCCCCCCTTCATTCCCCTCCACCCTGCACACTTCCTGCCCCACCATTCCCCCCTTTAGTTTATGACCATGTGTCTCAAGTTCTTTAGATTCTATATTTCCTCTACTATTCTTGCCCTCCCTCTATCTATTTTCTACCTACCATCTATGGTACTTATTTTCTGTACCTTCTCCCCCTTCTCCTCCTCCCACTCCCCTGTTGCTAACCCTCCATATGATCTTCATTTCTATAGTTCGCTCCTGATCTAGCTGTCCTCTTAGTTTGCTTTTGTTTTAGGTGTGGTTCTTAATAACTGTGAGTTTGCTGTCCTTTCACTGTTCATCTTTTTTATCTTCTTTTGCTTAGATAAGACCCTTTAACATTTCATATAATAAGGGCTTGGTGATGATGAACTCCTTCAATTTGATCTTATCTGAGAAGCACTTTATCTGCCCTTCCATTCTAAATGAAAGCTTTGCTGGATAGAGCAATCTTGGGTGTAGGTCTTTGGATTTCATGACTTGGAATACCTCTTTCCAGCCCCTTCTTGCCTGTAGGGTCTCTTTTGAGAAATCAGCTGACAGTCTGATGGGAACTCCTTTGTAGGTGACTGTCCCCTTATCTCTTGCTGCTTCTAGGATTCTCTCCTTCATTTTAATCTTGGCTAATGTAATTATGATGTGCCTTGGTGTGTTCCTTCTTGGGTCCAACTTCTTTGGGACTCTCTGAGCTTCCTGGATTTCCTGGAAGTCTATTTCCTTTGCCAGATTGGGGAAGTTTTCCTTTATTATTTGTTCAAATAAGGTTTCCACTCATGGCTTTTCCTCTTCCCTCTTCTGGTACCCCTATAATTTGGATGTTGGAACGTTTAAAGATGTCCTGAAGGTTCCTAAGCCTCTCCTCATTTTTTTGAATTCTTGTTTCTTCATATTTTTCTGTTTGGTCATTTTTTTCCTCCTTCTGGTCCACTCCTTTGATTTGAGTCCCAGTTTCCTTTCCATTACTATTGTTTCCTGTGCATTTCCATTCATTTCAGTGAGTTTAGCCTTCATATGTTCCTCTAATTTGTGACTAAAATCAACCAGTTCTGTGAGCATCCTGATCATCTGTGTTTTGAACTGTGCATCTGAAAGTTTGGCTCTTTCTTCATCACTTAGATTTATTGGCTCTGGGGCTCTGAGTTCTTCTTGAGCCATGTTTTGATCTCCCGTGCCTGTTATGTATGAGGAGCAGAGCCTTAGATGTTCACCAGGGCGGGGCCACCCAGGTCACTGGTTTGTGATGCTGTATGTGGGGGGCGGGGTCAGAGGGGAACAATAGCGGTTCCCTCTGCCGCTTCCTGCCACTGGGGCCTTCATGGTCCGTCTCACTGCTCGCTCCTTCACCGGTTTATCTGGACACGAATGTGTGACCGTGGTCAGCCCTCAGTGGATCCACCGCCTTGTGCCCTCAGTGGGTCTGCCCATTGCTACTCTACACCTGGGACCCACCCACGGCTGCCAGCGCACCTGGGTCATGCGCCCAGGTTGGTCCTGTGGATCTTTCCTGCCCGACCCCACTCTGCTGCTGGCTCTGCCTCTCTTACCCATTTGGCTGAAGTGTTGGTTGTTGTCAGACTTCCATATAGTTCAATTTTCTGTAGTCTGGCTGCGTTTTTGTTGCTAAAACTTTGTTGTTTTTAAACCTGGTTGGGCAAGAAGGCACAGTGTGTCCACCTATGCCTCCATCTTGGTGGAAGTACCTCACATATATATATCTCAATTACATAAATATGGGGGGGAGGAAGCGAGAAGAGAGGAAGAGAGAGTGAGAGAGACAGACTGAAGATCAAGCTTCTTACAGACTGAATTAAGTTCTCAGAGGTTATACTTTAGTTCAAGTAAGACTACAATGAAGGTGAACAAGCAAGTCCGCAAGTCCATGGACAAGTCCAACTAACAACTCTCAGATCATGCTTCCTGGTCTGTGAGTTTCTTCTCTGGGGTGCGCTTAGGGTTCTTGGCCTGGGAGGAACTTTTTGGGGGTGGCAGCTGCCATTTCACTATTTTCTCTGCATACCTTCCTTCCTACACACATGTCTTCATCATTGTCCCCTCTGTCCTGTGCCACAGAAGCCTGGCCTCCTGGTGTTGCCAGAACTTCTCCACTGGGGTCCATTTGCCTGTCTAGGGTTCTCAGTCCCGGCTGCACAATCCTAGGTCCCTAGCGAGTCAAAGTCTCTGAGCTGGAGCCAATAAGATTGTAAGGAAAAGAGGGGAAGAAAGGCTCCATACAGGATTCTAAAGCACAACCGGGTTTAAGAACCACTGGTCTGAAACACATTTGAATTTGAATCATGCCTGAATGACATAAGAAAGGTATTTCACTCATTAATCCTTCAAAAAAATAGCCTCCTGCCAGTAAACTTTACTATGTTAGTTTACTATGTGTTCGATAATACGCTAAAAACCCTATGTAAATACCTTATTTCTATCATGTAATAATGCTTGGGATAGATATTATTGTTAACCCATTTTACAGGTAAACATACTGAGGCATATTGAGTTTCATAAAGGTAAGAAGGTGGCCAAGATTACATACCTGGTGACTAACGGAGCCAGGATACAAACCCAGGTGGTCTGAGTAAAGGACCTCCCAGGATGCCTGGCACAGGGCGAACGGTCCGTGTGGCCCTCATCACTGCAGCACAGTGATCACTACCCTGACCATCACCTTCCCCAGGTGTCCACGTCGGACGCTGACCCTGCCTGCAGCCAGTGAGGAGGGCATGCCTTGCCCATTTCTCTAGGGTTTTGGAGGGCAAGACACCACCCGGTGCCCGACAGAAATGCGCTCTTAGAGAGCTGTACGTCTCCCACACTGCTCTGGGGGTGTGCCAGAACCCATGCTCTCATTCCACAGCCCCAGAATTTAATGTGGATCGGGAGAAATGCTAGCTTTTCTTTCCGAGCAGGAAGCCTCAGGTAAATTTTGTGAAAGCTGCTGGGGAGCTGTGCCTTTGCCAGAAGGGATGTCAGCACCCAGCAGGGTCCCCTCTGTCACCACAGGGAATGGGGGCGGGGTCTGGAACGCTTTGTGAGCTTGGGCGGCGTGGGGAGCTGAACTTGGCGCTGAGCTTCCCCAGTCTGGGTGCCTGCAGAGGCTGCTTCATGGGCAGCCTGATCTTGCTATTTCCATTTTGGGGGGTCTCTCTCACCGCAGATTTTTTTTTTCCAGTGCTAATTTTTTATCGTTATAGTCAGAAGGGAGATTTTAAAAAAAGACACTGGCTGAAGGTATCATTGCTTTAGAAATGTGTTTCACCCTTTACCTAACAAATCCAGCCCCACGTACTGTATCGTGGGTTGTGATGAAAACACAGTGCAGAAAAAAACCAGCTGTGGTGGTAGCACTTATTCTCAGCACCCAGAAGGGCAACATCCCCAAGGGGTCGCATGGCCCCCTTACCTGTCATGTTGCAATACACCTTCAGAGGCCCCAGCGGTCCGCTGCCATCAGGGTCTATCCAGTAGTAATTCGACGTCTGGCCCAGGTGTTTGTACGCCTCGCAGGACGGCTCGTAGATGGCTGGAAGGGAACGTCCGACATGAGCATCGCACAGAAGTCGCTCCGCACACAAATGCCCCAGGAATGCCCCACACCCTGGAAGCCACCACTGGGGACGGTGTCCTCTCCCTACACCGAGTGTAGCTCTCCTCTGCCTGCCAATGTACGATTTGGTTTTTATTCCATGAGCATTTTTGACCTAACAAATGAACATAATAAGAATCGGCTTTACAGTTAGAAATAAGTCTGAAAAATCAATAAATTGTTAAATGAATGTAAGGTTTGTTGTATTGGGATTCACGATCATTGAGAAAAGATCTAATCTATAGTTACAGATAGCATCTTCTTACTGTGAGGGATGCTATTTTTGCAAGGTGTTATCTACTTTGCTTGGCTCTCAACTACGAGATTTTTCTCTCTCACACTCACACACACACACACTTTTTTGCATAGGTGTCTAATTTCATGGGATTTCTACTCTTCCTTTATTTCAGGAAGAAAGGAAAGAAATGTCCCTGCTGTACTTTGTTATAGGTGCTTTGATTACAGCTAGTTTTGTTTGTGTAGAAAGCTGGTATCAATCAATGAATTACAGGTTCTTTTCCATTGTTTTCCTCTTTGTTCCCACACTCTGGACACTTTTTCTCTCCCAGGAAACTGCAGCTGTTTTCAGAGGCATAAGATAGACACTTACATGTTGCCTTTCTCATGAGAACTAAAATATTATTGCTAAAATGTTTTGATGTCTATGAGGAATTTGAATGGCCTCTTTACAAAAGTAAGAATTCCAGTGAAACTCACTGTCCCTGAAATGCAAGTAGTGGAGTTTTTTGGTAACGTGCCCCTGAACTTGGACACCAGCACCTGTCGTTTGTTCGGCTATGAAGTAAGAGATCCAGTTCACGGCTGCCTTTCTTACCTTCCTCGCCCACCGCCCCCCAGGCCTGCCTTTGCCTTCCCATGGTTTCCTCTCTACAGAGATCTTAGACCTCCAATGAAAACGAAAAGTCCCTTTCATTTCAACAACAACACACTAGACTCAAATGATTCTGAATTTTTTTGATTTACTTAGTCCTTCTTGCTTCCCTTCCTCCTTTTCTTCTGCACATAGTTACTGAGCACCCAGGATGTGTTGGGCAGTGGATTAGGCCCCACAAATACACCAGTGAGCGATACACAGTCAGGACTTTTGGAAATGCGTTTGCTTTCTAACTCTGTGGGAGCGACTCCATCATAAAGTTCTATGGGAAGAGGATGTGGCCAGAAAGTTAAGCGGAACCCACACCTTTTTGTTTCATATAAGGATGAATACATCCGCTTTCAATCTCCCAGTTGTCTATTTGCATAATAAATCATGGTTACTCAAACTCTGAATACCATACCAAGTGAAAGGCAGTGAGAAAGTACTTTAAAACTTGCGGCAAGAAGAGGAACAGTTAGAGGTGGGTTTTAGCAAGAAAACTCCTTTCAGGAGTTGCAAAACAATAGATTCTAGGGAAGTGATTCAGAAGATGAGAGAGTTTCGGGGGTTAGTGCCATAGGCCAGTTGAAAGATGATCGGCTCTATATGAAAATATGAAAAAGCATAAAGTAGATGCTCCTGGGTTCCTGTGTTTCTAAGAGCAACAGGACACGGAGACCAGATGAGTGTAGACAGGAAAAAAGGGAGCTCCGAATGCCCTAAACCCACCATCTCTGAAAATAACAAATCCATTATTTGTCTTTGCGACCTCTCTCCAGCTTATTGCAATGGCTTTGCATAGTTCAAATTCATCCGCAAGATCAGGTTCAAATTCTAAAGTCTCTTTGGCCAAACTGCCATGAAAACTTTCGCCTTTCTTCTCTCTTGTTTAATAATCAGTCATTCTCTTCTGCCAATGCCCCGATCCTTTTCTTTACCATCTGGTACCTGGTGTACAACAATCATTGTATTAATCTGTGGTCATACCCAACTATCTCTTCACTCCCCACCAAATGATGCTTTTTTAATCCAACGTTCTTCTAGCCTTAAAACATTACTTTCACAAAGTTCAAGGAATGTGTAATCGTTCTCCAGAATCTACAATGTTACATCCCAGGTCACGCTCTCTGCCTGTGAGGCTCTACATAATCAAATGGATCTGTTTAGCGCCCTGCCAAGGGCAACCCGGCGCTCTGGTCAGGAGCACTGGACACAGGAGACCGCTCGCCCCTTCTAGGGCTTCCTTCATCTGCAATTACCACAAGCCTCTTTCCCCACCTAGCAGCCTCTGCAGTCAGGGTTAACCACAGCAGCCTGTGCAGTCAGGGTTAACCACAGCAGCCTCTGCAGTCAGGGTCACTGTAGTAGGTACAGCAGCCTAGTTAGGGTAGCAGCCTCGAGTAGGCGAGCCTCTGCAGTCAGGGTCCACGCAGGTGAGTAGGGTTAACCACGGAGACGGAAGTGGTAAGAGACAGGGCTCTGCGGTCAAACAGACTTGGGCTGGCATTCGGACTCTGCAGAGTGCTGTTTACTTAACATTGGCAAAGTTTCCTAACTTTACTTAGCCTTGTCTGGGGAATGGGTATTACAGATACAGTGAATGGTGTCTTGAGATTTGGAGGAAGTAACCGATGTCAATTGCTTACGATTATGTCTGGCCATGGTAAATATTTAATAACTGGAGTTTTTACGATCGGTGTAATAATTATTATGTAGGTCCTACTCACATTCCTCCTTTCTTATGGGGACCCCCCCACCCCCACCCCATCCATAGTCAATATGTCTGTCTTTCTGTACATTCATTGCTCATCTCTGGCACTGAAATACTTCATTACAGTCAATTAAGGGCTTGATGAACTATTCATTGGATTTCATATACAAAAAGTTTATTTTCTAGCAAGACTGAATTTTCTTGAAGCGCAGGCCTAGAAAATGTGTGTTTCTTTTCTACGCCATACAATCTGATGAGGTAGGAGTTTAAGAAAAGCCCTCAGAACGGAACTTCGCAGGCACCTGCTTTTTGTCCTGGTCTGACTTTGACAAATCCTGGCTAAGCAGGAGAAGCCTGTGCAGACGAGGTAGGACTAAAGAAGGGTCACAGTGGTTTGCATGGAAAATAACACCTAATTAATCGACAGTCATATGAGGATAAACTCTGTGTTTTGCCTACTCACAGATGTCAGCCTCCCTCTGCCCCACCCTCTAGGAAGGCACAATGGGCTGGTAAGAAGTGTTGTGTAGGCCACTGCTGCATTTCCAAGGAAGCACGTAAGCACGTCAAAGAGGGCTACTCACCTAACCCACGTAACTAAGAGCAGCTGTGGATGGCAGGTGGGAAGGGACAAAACCCTCTTCTCTTTTTCTTCAAGCAGTGACAATTATTCTGCTTGCCTTCAACCTAGAACAGGCCTCCTGGCTGCTATCGCCTCACCAACACATTTCGGTCCAACTCTGTCACGTGTGAAAACTACCTGGCCTGCTTGTGAGGACAGGGGTCCCTGCCTCCAGCGGGAGCTCCTGGCTCAGCAGAGCAGGGCCTGCAGTTCTCACAATTTCCCCAGTAATCGCCGGCCCTGCTGGTCTGAGAGCATTTTGAGAAGCGCAGCTCTCATCTTGGGGGGAAAAAGGGTAACTCTAGAACAGTAGACTAATTGTTTATTTATATTTAAATACAAATAGAAAAAGCCGGCCACCAAAAGGCAGTGCAGTACACTTGTAAATAAAATAAGGCCAGAATACCACCTTACTTCACTCAAAATAGTAACAATGGAGTGGGATGCAAAACTCTAAACGCAAATGCGGAGTCAAAAGAAATATACTCGGAGGAGTTCGCAGAAAAATACTTAGAAAGGAACACACTAGAACAGTGATAGTGATTATCTTTGAGTAGTAAGATTATGGATGATTTAAACCCTTTCATTCTTTTCTGCATTTTCCACATGGGTTTATAATGTGCATAAGTTACATTATCATTTAAAACACCGTTGTAAAAATGTGTATTTGGGAGATGGCACTGAGGTAAAATGGCAAGGACAGCTGGAATACTGCAAAATGACATTAGTTTTATAAGTGAATAAGGAATCAAGAGCTTTTCGCTCAGATCTCTTTTTCTGTCATTTACTACATGGAAACTTCCGTGAACTCGGTTTTCTCAACTGTAAACTGAAGGCAAAGATAATACCTCCCTTGCCAAGTTATCGTAAAGAAGAAATGAAATCCCACACTGTGTAACTAAGGAGCACCGAGCACAGTGAAATGTTGATGCAGAGAACGAGCTGACCACAGCATTCGCCGGGCACATGCCTCTGCCAGGGGACTCTGCGGAGGCCTCGCTGGGTGGCAGAATTTTGCACATCAAACCGGAGGAGACCACGATGGAGCGTCAGGGGCCGGAGAAGAAAGAGAAGGGTCTGAACAGCGTCAGCTGAGTTTAGCTAGTGGATTGCCGAAGACCAGTGAGGAAACCCGGCTGGTGGCAAAATAAATAAAACTCGTTAAGTCCATTGGTTTACAGGTGGTGCTGCTTCTCAAGAGTTCGCTTTATGCGACTGTGACTTTGCTTCTGCAACTGACCCTGACCTTACATGAATGCCTGTTTCTGCTAACTGAAGGGCATCCTGAAAAAGGCCAAAGGGGAAAACAAAACTCAGCGTTTGTTTTGCAGTGAGCCTGCAGAGGTGGGGGGCGCCCTGAGGAGGGAGAGTGGCCCCCTCGGGCTCCCTCCCTGGGAACGAAACTCAGCACCTCAGCACTGAGCCCCAGGCTTTGAACTGTGTCTGTGAGCATCTGTGAGCTTTATCTCCATTCCTGCTGTGCATCCGTTAGTTGCCCGAAAGTCATGGCTTTGAGGCTTCACGCCATTTTGACCTACAAAGGTTTCATAGGAAGGATCCAAAGAGTATGAGGGAAACCTGTATTGGAAAAGTAGTTTTTCTCTGCTGCAACATGCAGGCCCAAATAAAGGGTCTCATCATCTTAACTAGATCTCAGCTATTCAGAAATATTATCATTAAACACATCAGACTGAATGGCGGAGTAGGTAAAGGTCCAGGAAGTGCTA